GAGAGAGAGAGAGGGAGAGAGAGAGGGAGAAAGAGAGACTGTACATTTAGTTTATTGGCTTACTTTTTCACCTAAAATAAATATTAGCTTGATTTTGATTTTTTCATTTAAAATAAACATTTTCATTTAAATATTTTTATCTCTGCTAGATATAGGTGAACTTTGTATTTACACTGCCATATATTCTAACTCTCACGAATCTCTCTTTTAGGACAACACTCAAGAACAGCATGAAGTAAGAGACAGAGGTAATAAAAATGTGTCCCACTTCTTAAGAGAAAAGCTCAATAGTGAAATAGCTGCAATTACAAAGGAATCAAAGAGCAGCAACAATGACCAGGAAATAGATGGTGATGATGACAGTGAGGCTGAGGAAGAGGAAGATGGTGAGGATGAAGGAGAGGATGATGGTGAAGAGAGCAACAACAAAGCGACAAGAGAAGAGGAGACGAAAGCCAGGGAACAAATCAGAAATTGTGAGAGCAGTTGTCAACAGGTAACTGCTAAGACCTTCACAGCACAGGCACATCAGCCAGAGGCCCAAGAGAAAAGTGAGAAAAAAATATCCAAGTTAGATCCTAAGAAGTTAGCGCTAGACACCAGCTTTCTGAAGGTAAGCGCAAGGCCTTCGGGGAACCAAACGGATCTGGATGGGAGCTTGAGGAGAGTGAGACAAAATGACCCTGACATGAAGGAACTCAACCTGAACAACATCGAAAACATCCCCAGAGAGATGCTACTGGACTTTGTCAATGCCATGAAGAAGAACAAACACATAAAGACTTTCAGTTTGGCCAATGTGGGTGCCGATGAGAGCGTAGCATATGCCTTGGCTAACATGCTGCGTGAGAACAGGAGCATCACCACGCTCAACATTGAGTCCAACTTCATCACAGGAAAAGGCATCGTGGCCATCATGAGGTGTCTCCAGTTCAATGAGACGCTCACTGAACTCCGCTTCCACAATCAGAGGCACATGCTTGGCCACCATGCTGAAATGGAAATATCCCGGCTTCTGAAGGCCAACAGTACTCTCCTGAAGATGGGCTACCATTTTGAGCTTCCAGGTCCTAGAATGGTGGTAACTAATCTGCTCACCAGGAATCAGGATAAACAAAGGCAGAAAAGACAAGAAGAGCAGAAGCAACAGCAGCTCAAAGAGCAGAGAAAGCTAATAGCCATGTTGGAGAATGGCTTGGGGCTGCCCCCAGGGATGTGGGAGATGTTGGGAGGACCTATGCTGGACTCCAGAATGCAGGAGTTCCTTCAGCCGCCTCCTCAGCCTCCCAACACCCAACCAGCTCCCTTTAGTCGAAGAAATGAGATGATGACAAAGCCATCGCAGCTTCCCCAGTGCAAGACAGACCCTGACTCCTTCCGAGTGGTAAAGCTGAAGAGGATCCAGCGCAAGTCCTGCATGCCAGAAGCCAGAGAAGCACCAGAGAAAACCAATCTCAAAGATGTGATCAAAACCCTGAAGCCTGTGCCGAGGAACAGGCCACCCCCACTGGTGGAAATCACTCCTAGAGATCAGCTCTTAAATGACATTCGTCAGAGCAACATCGCTTATCTGAAACCTATAAGTACAAAGAGGGAGAAATGGTGAACAACTACCCCAAGAAATGTACCCCAAATCTGTTCTCTACACATTTTAACACAAGGAAGTACTCATAGTGACTAATTGGGAGAACCAGGGAGCATAACCAGTAAGTTTCAGTTGGTGGTTATCCCCAAAACATATAGCTATGTGACTACTGTGACAATAATATAAACAGCTAGCATTTATTGAGCACTTTCTATAAGCCAGGATCTTCATGTCAATAGGCACATATCATCTTACAATTCTCTAGGTAGATGCAATTATTCTTCCCACTTAAAAAGGGACTTGGCTGGTGAGATAGCTCAGCTGTCTCAGCACCTGCTTAGGCAAGCACAGGGACCACAGTTCGATCCCCTGAACCACATGTCATGCCAGTCCCACCCCTGGGCATGCTGAACCAGCCACCGAGACCAGGCGTGGTGGCACACACCTATATTCCCAGTGCTGGGAAGGCTAAAGCAGAAGGATCACTATGAGTCCAAGCTGCGCAGTGAGGCCCTGCACCAAATACATAGAAATAAATAAATAAATAAATAAATAAATAAATAAATAAACAGGCTCGGCCAGCAGAGTATGTAGTACAGTAGGAGCATGTTGGGTCCATGAAAAGAAGAGGATGAGGCTTCCAGAAGTTACTAAAATGTCTAGGGGGCACAGCTAGGAGTGGTAGAGCTGAGAAGTGGCAGTTGAGTACAGGGTCAACTCATTCACCCTGCTATTCGGTATCCTCCCCACTCATGTGCAAAATGACACCGAGCTACACACAAGTGATGACCAGAGAGCCCCAGGGACCTGCTGGGAGGTGAAAACAAGAAGGAGGCCTGATTAGGCTAAATTTATAAGTAACTGGAAAAACTGTTAAAGATAGTTGGGTTTTTTTAGGAAATGAAAAGAGATTACCCACAATTGCATTTATAATCTTTACCTTTTCTTTTGTTTTTCTCATTTTTTCTTTCTTTTTTGGGGGGTGATGGTGGTAGTGGGGTTGAACCCAGTACCTAACACTGAGTTACACTCCCGTATGACACAGTGTCACCAAGTTGCAAGTGGCCCATGCTCAGCTCAAACTAGCGATCCTCTTAATCTCCCAGAGTGCTGAGATTACAGGCAAGCACTGCCACACCCAGGTATATCCTTCAGTAATTTGGTGGATAGTTGAACCTAGTTGTAACCTCAGGCCACGGTCTTTATGCATCTAAAGAGTTTGAAAATATTTACTGTTATTTAAGTTTGGGTATCTACTGTGACTCAATATTGCCACCAAGTGAAAAAGTTCTATTCTTTGCAGCTGAAGTGGCAGAAATGAATTTTTGGAGGTCATTATTATAATTGCACTTAGGCTGGGGATGTGAGTCTATGTTATATTGATTAATACTTAACTATAAGGAGCCTGGGAGATGGCTCAGTAGAATAAGTGCTTCCCTGGCAAGTGCAAGGGCTTGAGTTCAATCCCTGGTTCCGCAAAAAAAAAAAAAAAAAACTTAACTATGTTATTTTAAATTCCCGTGTGTAATTTAGCCAAGAGATTACCTTGACAGCATAGTCAACATATTAGTTCACCGGAGATTCTAAACCTTTTGAAACATGTTACAAATTCCCATGCAAGCTGATACCTTTTCTGCTTTTAAGAGCTCTGTATTCTAAAATGAGGTAATTCTTACTTCCTCAGCACACATGTTTAAAGATAATTGTTTCTCATTCACATATGTACCTATTTATAGCCCTTATTTTCATCTCCTAGAAATGCAGAGTTACCCATATTCTGTTTCTTAAATCAAAGATGACTTCCATTTGTGACTTGGAGACAGCCTGATTTTTCCGGGGAGAGGTTCCAGGGAGGGCACGAGAGGTCACATCAGGTCAGTTGTGGCTCTTTGCCTGACCTTGGGCACAACTTCAAGTCTGCACCTGCTCTTCTCCCAACAATCAAAGCTGAGGGTGAAGGAGGGCACTTGAAAAAACTAATACTCAATCATTTCTTTCATGACTTGTTATTGGCAAAGAATATCCTAGTCACCTTAATGGCTACAAATCAGGAAACAATTGAACAGAATGATATAAAGCCTGTGTGAAAATCTATGTGAAAGGGCCAGTGAGATAGTTCAGTGGACTAAGCACCTGCTTAGGCAAACGCAGGAACCAGGGTTCGATCCCAGGGACCACATGCCATACTGGTCCCACCCCTGGGCATGCTAAGCCTTCCACCAAGTCTGGGCATGGTGGCACACGCCTGTAACCCCAGCACTCAGGAGGTTGAAAACAGGAGGATCACTACCAGTCTGAGCTACATTGTGAGACCCTGTGCCAAATACATGAAAAAAACATCTATGTGAAGATGGCATATAGGTTCAGAGTAGAATAAGAAGTGGAGTTCAATTATCTGAGCCTACTCCCCGATTTCTGATGGAAGGCTCTCTGAGCAGATCCCAGGTTTGGGTCTACATCCTAGAGCAAGACATTGCAATAAATTCCCACTGATATTTGCAAGAGCACAATACCCTGCAAAGTACTAAATTTTGCATGTTTTAATCAATTATGAATGTTATTAATCTTAATTGTTTGTTTTTTAATAAATTGAGAAAGTAAAATATGCTGCCAAGTAAAGCATGACATACCTTTGGAGTGACAGTCCTGCATCTGCCTCTGCTTTGAAATGGTTTTTAAGGGGCTGGTGAGATGGCTCAGTAGAATAAGCGCTTCCCTGGCAAGTGCAAGGGCCTGAGTTCAATCCCCTGTTCTGCCAAAAAAAAAAAAAAAAAAAAAAGTGAAATGGCTTTTAATCTTGTAAGAAGTTGCTAATCTTTTTCTGCTTTCGTTTGCCTGACTTGGCCTGATACTTATGTTTTCTCATGTATTTCACAAATGTCATACAACTTCATCTTCTTGTTTTCATGAAACACTATGTAAGAAAAATATGAGCCAAGTACAGTGGCACGCACCTGCAAACCCAGTACTCTGGAAGGCTAAAGTAGGAAGATCTCAAGTTTGAGCCCAACCTGGGCAATTTAGGAACTTGGTGAGACCCTGTCCCAAAGTAAAAAAAGAAAAGGCCTGCGATATAGCTCAGGGTGAAGCCCCTGATTTTAATCCCCAGTACAAGAAAGAGAAAGAAAGAAGAAAGAAAGAAAGAAAGAAAGAAAGAAAGAAAGAAAGAAAGAAAGAAAGAAAGAAAGAAGAAAGAAAGAAGAAAGAAAGAAAGAAGAAAGAAAGAAAGAAAAGAAGAAAGAAAGAATGAAAGAAAAAGAAAGAATGAAAAAGATAGACAGACAGACAGACAGACAGACAGACAGAAAGAGCGAGTGGGCTAGGGGCCAGGTGTGGTGACACATGCCTGTAATCCCTGCACTCCAGAAGCTGAATCAGGAGGATTGAGGTGAGTTAAAGGCCAGCCTGAAATACATAGTGAGACTTTCTCAAAGAAACAAAATCACAATAGAAAAAAAGAAAGAAAGAAGGAAAGAAGAGAGAAAGGAGAGAAAAAAATATGAAGATGCCTCGTTTGCTTTACTAACATCAGCTTGCTTCACTGCTGTTTCCAGGCCTTTCTACATACCTAATAAATACCTGCTTGAAAGTCATGTCATAGTATAATCTTTTAAAATGCATTTTAGTTTTCTATCTTTTTATTCTGAAATTATTTTTAATGAACTGAAATTCAGAAATAGCACAAGCAACTCTTGCATACCCATTGCACTTTGTCGCTTTTGCCATATTGTTCTTCAACAGTGAGTTTAAGTTGCAGGGCATGTACCCTGTGCTGTCCCAGCAGGGACATAACTCCCTGGGGGTGGCAGCAGGATGCGGAGCTGTGAGGTGTGCACCCGTACACCTGTGGTCAGAGGATATGAATGCCATGAATGCTAAGATTGAATGCTAAAAAAAAAAAAAAAATCTGACTTCTTAGTGAGGCAAACATCAGTAACACGCCTCCCAGACTCAGTGAAATACTTGAAACACCATGAGCGGTCACATGACAACAGCCTAAGAAAAAGGGATATATTTGGTCATTCCTATAAAACATGGCAATACTCACTTAATAGAAATGCAATTACACATTTTTGAGTTTTAGGTCCAGGTGCCCTGCAAATCCCTGAATTTTCAAAAATGAGTATAAAATTAACATTCAATTTTGAAACCTTGGCTTAGGTGTTATTTGAGACATTAGTCTATGTCTCAAATGTCTCATGAAAAAAATCTAAACATCTGGCATTAGTTGAAACATCAGATCTAGCCAGCTTGGGTTTACATTTGCCTGACACAAAACAACTGCCGTGTGTGTGTGTGTGTGTGTGTGTGTGTGTGTGTGTGTGTGTGTGTGATGCACTGTACGTGGTATGCGCTGCTAGGGCTTGCACCCAGGGCCTTAGCCATGCGAGGCAGGTCAGCACTCTCCCCTCAGCTACTTCTGTTCATTGGCTTCTCCCTTGAGATAGTAGGACGCGGCCTCTCCAGGTTTTCCTCTTACACCTGCTATGTTTCATTCATTTACTTCTTTGGCTCCTGCAGGATATGTTAGTCTTCTCTCTGTGTCTTTTTCAATTTTTTGCCTCTCACACAAAGTGGATTTATTATATAACAACTGCTCTCTTTCTCTGTGAATTAATAATTCTTAACAGGTGAGACACCAGAACAGGGTGTTATTCACGCAAGCTTTTCCCTCCCCAACACATACAGCTGTCTTCCCTATTCAGAGCTGGCGTGGCCCTCTCACTGACCATCGTCCTCCAGGATGCTGCCTTGTGGATTCCCACTTATAGCGCTCCTCCATTCACTGAGGCTGCTGCAGGGGCAGCAAACCCGGGCTTCTGTACCCCCAGATGACTGTCTTAGCAGCCACTTCCTTTCACTCTGGGTTCATAGTGTGTGTCTACACTGCTCCCAGCCAATGGTCTGACAATGCTACTAAATTCCCGACACTACTAAATTTCACGCACAACCTTTGTATTCCAAAAACTTCCACACTACCTTAGTAGCTGCAACAATTGCAGAATTTGAGATTTTAGACTCAAGCCTCTAACTTTGTCCTGGCCCATTCTTCTTTGCTGTATTTATATACTATACCTTTAATCAGCTTTTCTAGACTGTATCCTTTGCCAGTTTCTTTCCTGTGACCTGTTTCATTTTGTGTCAGTATCACATAACCCACGACAAGGTCCCATTTTCCATTTCTCTCACTGTCAATTTATTTTTTCTTCCCCCACTGTTTTAGAAAACTTTTTTATTAGTACATATTTGCTATACGTAATGATCATAGTCATCATAGGGAATTTATACCTGTACTTAATATGTCTTAATTCTTCTTTCTCTAGTCCTCTTCCCTCCTTTCAACCCCTCTTGCCCTTCCCATTTATAAAACCTTAGTTTCCATTTCCTTTCCATTCTTTTTCACAATCCCTTTCCCTTTCTTCTCTTCCCCTCCGCCTCCCGTTCCTCTTCCCATTTGAACATGTTGTTCCTATTTCCCAATATCTAGCTTCTGTTTCACTCTTTATATATCCTTTGGGTTTCTCACACATGAGAAGCAGTGTGTTGGGTGTGGTGGTGCATGCCTGTAATCCTAGCACTCAGGAGGCCTAGGCAGGAGGATTGCAGTGTATTTGAGGCCAGCCTTGATTATATAGCGAGTGCCTGAACTACATAGTGAGACCCTCTCTCAGAAGAGGGGAGAGGGAAAGGCCATGCAGTACTTAAATTTATGCTTCTCATTTACTTCACCTAAAATTATGGTCTCAAGGTACATCTATTTACCTAAAAATGACTCAAGTTTATCCTTCTCCAGCCTTTTTTCTTGTCTCTGAAAAGAAAGCAGGAGAATCTACAAGAGTCAAAGGCAAATGTAAATCATGACTTTGAAATGCAATAATCTTATGAGCAGGGACTCTGAAGTAAAGCGTGTCACCTCTCATGCCCCTCTTGAAAGAGCTTAAGCAGCCTAGGAATTGCTGAAATCAGAAACTGCCCTCCCTGGAGTATCATGGGCTTTGATAAACTGCTATTTTTAAGTCTATAGCCCTTCCCAGGCTCCAACTCAGTAAGTCTTAAGACCTGAAATTTTGCATTTCTGGCCAATTCTCTGGTGGCCCTGATGCTTCTTTCTTGTGCACTACATTTGACATCCACAACTTTGTGACATCCCTGGCAAACTGTACCTGACATGGTTTCCACAAAGAGCCATGCTTTTCTGACTCCATTACTCTCTGTCTCAAATTATCTTTTCTTCTATCTGTTGAAATTTATCCAGTTACTGAGGTTTATCTCAAATATTACTCCTTTCACACAAAATCAAAGAAAACCGTGGTCATGTATGAGGTGTAATCAAAATATACAGTGAACACTGAAATTGAAAGAAATACAATAAGATACACAATGCCATATCCCTCAAATTACCACTCATCACTTTAAACATACTTCTCCACTGTCCTTGCCACTTTCTAAAGCAGCTCTGGGTGTCCTCTTTTATAAGTGTCTTTAGTTGAGCTGTTGTGGCTGCCTTGGAGTTCTGCATGGACACAAACAGAATAGGAACTCGAAACCATGTATGCTGAAATAGTCTTTACACCCAGGCTCCATGAGTATATATATATATATGTTTGTTCTGTGTAGTAGCCACATACACATGTACATACCACATACTTTTGACTTTTGCTGTTATTTGTTCTTTTGAGACAGAGTCTTACTATATAGTTCAGGCTGGCCTCGAACTCATGATAATCCTCCTATACAGTTGTGTGCTGCCACATTTCGCTCCACATATCTTCTTCTTCTTCTTCTTCTTCTTCTTCTTCTTCTTCTTCTTCTTCTTCTTCTTCTTCTTCTTCTTCTTCTTCTTCTTCTTCTTCTTTTATGTATGTGGCACATGGTCTCACTATGCAGCTCAGACTCATAGTGATTCTCCTGTTTTCAGCCTCCCCAGCACTGAGATTACAGGCGTGCCCCAGTACGCCTGGTCTCAGTGGCCAGCTCAGCGCTCCTGGGGGCTGGAAACACACTGCACGTAGTGCCAGGGATCGAACCTCAGTCCCTGTGTCGCCTGAGCAGGCACTTAGTCCACTGACCTATCTCACCAGCCCCACATATACTCTTCAAAAGCTAATTTTAAGGACCAAAGAACTCTAATGATGACACAGGTTGATTCTTTCCCATTTAAAAAACCTATGTCTTTTTCTGTTTTTGTTATTTTGCTTATGAATGGCTTCTCTGATGACTAAATTATGTATTTTTTTCTTAGAACTTTTATAGTTTCTGGTTTTTAAAAAATATTTGATATAACAGATTAATTAGCTTAGATTTTAAAAGATAAATGAGAGACAAGAAGTCTACTCTATTATTTCTTTTCATACAGTTCACCGAGATCACTTTGTGACTCATTCATCTTTACCCCAGTGATCTGAACTGGCAGCTTGCTTATATTTGACATGTGTTTTTATGTTTTTTTGGTTTATCATGAGGGTGTCACATTTCACTTTTTGAAACATCATTTTGGAACCCTTCCATGGGTATAGAAACAGATACAAAGATCCATAACACAAAGTTCACACTGCTCTAGTATCCATTGCAACTTTCCATCTATCTTAGATACCTGGCACATTATTTTGTTCATCCATCTTCCTAATCATCAGCATTGTCCTGAGTGAGCCTCCAGAGGCACAGCCAAACCCCTTCCTTCTCAGAAGCCTGCACTCAGGATAGAGCAGGCCAGAGTACTGGGCCCTGGAGAGGGCCCTCGGCTCAAAGACTGCAGCACACAGAAGCAGTGTCTTCTCTTTGGGCAGAGTCATGCTGGGAATCATTCCTGGCCAAAGGTCCTGGACAGAGAACTGACTGCAGACAGAGCCATGACAGATGGCCAAAAGGATGCATCATGCTGGCGGGGGGATGTGGGCAGTGAGGGAGAAGCAGTCTTGGTAGTTATTGTACCAGATATGAATGTCCTCTTAGTGTCTTCAGGGTCTTTTGGAAGGTAATGGATGAGTCACTCTCCTGAGACCCAGAGCCTCTGGAAGCCCTTCAGAAACCTGACTTTACCCTGTCTGTGACCCAGAAGTGGGAGGTAGATGTGCAGAGTTGGCTTTAAGTCACTCATTTTTGTGTACTGGTAGGGGGAGGGTTGTCACCAAATATTATTCTATGTTTTACTGAGGATCAAATTGGGAAAGAGGAAAGATTTATTTTAAAAAGCACATACATCTTTTTGTAGGATGGTATCTCTATAGGCAGTATAGAGTTGTGGGTACCATAATCAGACCAATCTGGTTCAAATCCTGCTTTGCCACTTCCTAGCTGTGTTACCCTTGGAAAGTTAGTGTCTTCTCGGAATCTTTTCCTTCCTTACAAGGCTACTTTAGGAAATAGTGAGATAGGTTTTTTTTTTTTTTAAATAAAGGTTAACAGTGATTATTCTGTTATTGTCATCATATAGCTGAAAAAATTGATGCCCCACACCAATGAACCAGTAAGGCTGAGTCCAACCAGGCTTTGGACTCAAGCTGATTCTAGCAGCAGCCCTCTTGTTTCTGACATGCTGCACAGCATGCTAAGTGACTCTGAAGCAGTCCCTGGCATTAGGAAATGCCCAGTGCTTGGTGGCTTCAGTGGTCATTATTTTGCTATGATTTTGTAGGACTTTCTGGCTGGGATTTCTCATCCATTCCATATCCATGTAATCTTAGCTGTAAAGAGCTTGAGTTCCAGGCTTGATTGCTCTCTTTTCTTTGATGCTTAAATCACAGGTGCAGTTGCCAAAAGAACTGGCATAAGGCGCTGCAGAATCAAGAGCAAGAGGAGAAGCAGAAGCTGACACAGTGACTCGGGCTGAGCGGGAAGAGGATGGTGGCAGCGGCCCTTCTGCATACAGGAGGTGGAACAGGGACTGTGCTTCCATCCGAGAGGGGCATCAGTGGAAGGCACACAGCTTGGGCCACACAAAACACGGGCAGAGGAAGGGAGAAGGAGACAAAAATCCTAACAATCATGGGCAATGTTTTCCACTTGCAATCAGTGCAACTTAGGCGCAATTTAGAGTAATGCTTTCAGGAGCAGGAGCAAAGAATGTTTTTATAAACATTTGCTTTACTGCTGCTTTCTTCTGGTAAATAAGACAGAAGTGTTGCCCATTGGTCCTGGTGCCATTTTTACCCTTTCCACCTCCTCTGCTGACCTCACTGCACAGAATCCCAAAGGGAATGAACGGAGCATGTTTCAACCTATGGAAACATGAAGAGTGAATTAAACTCCCAGGTCTTATGCAGCTCTGAAATGAAAGGATCGCATATTAGCTTATCGCTGGAGAATCCCGAGCTTCCATTTCCAGCCCTGCCTGGTTCTCCCTCTGTGACTCTCCTGAAGTTTGGGTGTGTTCTTCTGATAGGGGTACCGTGAGAAACAGAGCACTAAACTCACAGGATGTGAAGAAAACAAAGTGCCCGCAGAAAAAGTAAAGAGAGCAAAGCAAACCCTACAAGTAGGAGCTATGACCCAAAACACATGCTAAATTATTAAATTTAAAAAATTGTTTAAGTGTCTGGCCTGATGGTGCATAGGTATAATCCCAGCACTGAGGAAGCTGCAGCAGGAAGATCCCTGTGAGCTCCAGGCCAACCAGGGCTACATGGTAGGTTCAAGGTCATCTTGAACCACATAGTGAGATCCTGCCTCAAAGCGAAACAAAATTTTAAGCAAAATGAAAACAATTTACAATGCCATTGATCCCCTCCCCAGGACTTTGCCCTGCTTGGGACACACTCACCCAATGTTCCTGCCATTTTCTGAAATCCTTTTGCATCTTTTCATGTCTGCCTTTATGTCCTAAATTGACTAAAGATATTCATGGCAATTTCTGCCAAATAAAAACAGTATGGAGTGTCCTTGTCCACCTTATTCCCAAAATCTATTACCATGTGACTTTTGGATCTTCCCCAAAGACAACATGAGCATGCAAAGTAAAGGGTCTGAATGGATTTAGGCCATCAAGGCAGCCAGGATTTCTGAAATGGCTTCAGAAAGCAGCCAAGGAGAGTGTAAGTGCGTTCAAAGCAAGGGGGAAGATTCTGAGGGGGATTAATGATAATGTACCCTTTTAAGCATTCATTGTTATTGTTTGATTCTGCCTTAAACATTTCCTGGCAGGGTTTCTACATACAAGGACAACAGCAGATAGTATGGTGTTTTGTAGAAATAAATTAGGGCGATAGATAATATAGTTATCAACAAACTTTTCATAGTTTAGGAGTCTAATTTGATCTTTGTTGTGCACCTCAAATTTCTTCCAAGGGAAGTTCGTTTACAAGATTAATGTCCTGGGCTGGCACGATAGTTCAACAGACTAGGCACTTGCCTTAGGGACCGGGATTCAATCCCCAGCATCACATGTCACCCCGGCCCTGCCCCCAGGTATGCTGAGACAGCCAGAGACCTGGCATGGTGGCGCATGCCCATAATCTTAGTGCTGGGGAGGTGAAAACAGGAGGATCTCCACGAGTCTAAGCTGTGTAGTGAGACCCTGTACCAAGATGCATAAAAATAAACTGAAAAAAAAAAAAAAAAAAAAGATTCTAGTCCTGATCCCACCATTCAGGACATTCCAGTGCAGGGTACACTCCCAATGGACTAATCCAGTCCGCATGTCCTTTATATTCATCTTGCTAAACCAGCCTCCACACACCCAGTGCTGCTTCTTTCTCCATCCCGCCACAGAATTGCCCCCCACTGGCTACTTCACCTCATGTCCTCAGTGAGAACCCAACCCATCTTCAAAGAGGGTCCCATCCCAGCCCCTCCACAAACGCATGCCAAACACTCCAACCTGCATTCTTTCCTCCAAGTTCCTACAGCATTATCTGTCTTACATACCAGATGCTTAGATTTTTAGGATGTTGTAATAATAAGAGTCATACAGACCAAGGAATTAGGAAATGAAGTTTTGCTATGTTTTCTCTTTTACCTGAGCAAATACTTGGCACTTGCCTTCTTTCTCCTTCTGTGGAATCCTAGGTGACACATAGCAGGCACATCAGGCTTGGAGAGGATGGCTGTAACAGGGACAAACTTGAAACAATACATTATTTGGAAGGATAAGTCAACAGAAATAGGGTGCTTCTATTTTTAAAAGATAATTCAGTGTGTAGAAAAGTGGCCAAATTTAGATAGTTAAGGATTTCAATCAAGTAATCAGCTGACAACTTTGTTTTCTCTTCCTCTAAAGTGTCTAGAAAATATCCTCGCATACAAGCAGTTCGATTAAGAGATGGTGTCAATAAATAAAACTGTTTACTCTGATAAAACAAAGCACTCCAAGCATATTTAAAAGCTTAATTATGTAAGTAGTTGAGGTTCTGGAAAGCCCTGTGAATTTGCCTCATCAGTCACAGTATTAATAAAGTCAGGAATTTTAAGAAGTGCTAATAGTCCTAAAAGAGGATTTTGATCCCAGACATACTAAAAAGAAATTGTAATTTTCATGAAATTTCCCATTATATTCTTTCTATTCACATTCCTGCCCTAAAGGGCTTACTTGAAGATTTTGTTTTAAAATGTATCATCAATTGATAACATATACTGGTCACTAAATATTTTAATGAGAATCTTAAAATTCAACTTGTCATTTTCTTCAAATGTATGGCATTTAGTTAGCAGAATACATCACACACAAAAAAGGGAAGGGGCTTAAAATGTGACACTGAGGTCAGGGTTGAAAGAAGATGCCCCTGGAATTCAATGTGCCTGTGAGGCACTCAAATGTTAAGGTTTTTAAAGGTATTTGGAACACAAGCCGAACGTAGAGTACATCTTCATGGTTTCTAGGGCTGTCGCTGAGCTTTTCAGATGTTTAATACAGATGCCATTAAATAAAGTCTCACCGAAAGCAAAACCTTTAGTAAATTTTACTTTTCATATTTGGTAAAGGTACAGATTCTAGTGCCTGTGTAAAGCATGTGATGTCACTGCGAAAGATGAAGGCCGCAGACTGGCTGAGCAATAAAAAGGCAAGAAAACTCGGGAGCAGTAGATGCCGCTGGCTTGTACTCTAGGACGGACAGTTTCCACATGGTGCTGTCTTTGCAATGCGATGCCAGTAAAACCTAAAGATTTCCCACTTCACTCATGAAATCGTGCCACTGGCAGGCAAATTAATAAGCTATTTCTAAATGCATGGGAAATACAGGAGGAAAGTAACAATATAAAACATGTGCTATTTTAATTTCAATGTCTATCTACAAAAGCATATGGCTATACCAATTGCTACCTAACGTCTCTATGGATCATTTCGGAAGCCAGAGCTTATTCCCATTTTTAAAAGACTTTTTGGCTTGGTCATCTAAAGATGCTTTTAAAATTTTAGCTAGTATTGATTTTTTGTCCCCCTAAGGAATTAACAGAATGCACATTGATTTCTTTCAAAATGCTCCAGTTAAAAGGAAACAGTGAAAAACATAGAAACATTACGTTTGACACCTTTTTTTTTATGGTTAGAACAAAAAATGTGCAAAAAACAGAACTTAAGTTTGGTTTTATTTTTTTGTTTGTTTTTTAAACAAGTCAGTCAAGAATAGTAAGGGTTATACAGCTGTAACCTCAAGGAAGATAACAAAATTTGCAACAGATAGCTGCTGGTGAACACACATTACCAGCATTTCAAAAATTTACAAAAATTTAACAAAAGTCTCCTAAACAACTACCTTTATATTCATAAACAAAGTATAAACAACTGGCTTATCCAGTTATACTGCAAGTCAAACAGGCAGAAAAATGATAGAATCATCTTTGATTTTTAAAGAATAGTAATACAAACTAAACTAATTGATACCACATACAATACCATCCTAGGGAATTTTGAAGAAGGTGCCAGGAAGGATTCAAACAGGCTAACACATGATGCCATCTACTTTAACTGCATTTCTCTTTTTATTTTTCTTTTCCTTTGACAGCCTTTTCATTGACTCTTATTGCCTTGATATTTTATCACTATTTTTTTCCCTACATGATAGCAATATTGTTGCTACAGAATCCATAGTTCTCGTTCATTACCGGCCACCTCAGACAACAGGAGGGTGGTTTGCTTTCGGTTTTTGAGGACTTTTCTCAGTAACATCAGAGATGTTCAGAGTGGGCCCAGCTCGTGCATGCTGCCATAGGGAGTTGGGCGGTAAAACGTGCACCTTCTATTTAAAAAACACAAACAAAAAAGTAGATCTGGACAAATCGCAACTCGATTTCTGCTGCAACCCCAGCCCCGGGGTAAAGGCTTATTCCTTCACTTTGCTGATGTAGTCAGTGATTTTGCTGATGCTTTCCTCCTGCTGCTCCAAGGCCTCCAGGATGATGCCCATGGGAGTCCTCTTCACCCCAATTCCCTCCATTTTATTCTCCAGCTTGTTCTTGAGGTTCCGGAGTCTCAATGATGCATGGATGAACATCACTAGAAACAAGTGGTCCACAGTCAGCACCCAAACAAAAATTCTCTTTTGCCTCATTCTATTCCCTCCAGCTCTGCCCTCTTCTACTCCACTGCCTCTGTTAGCTGCGACCCAATCTGTTTCTCCTATTGATCAAAGCCGTCAGCACTTATAAAGTAAGTAGAGAATCTAGCATCAGACAAATGTGGAGCCCAGTGTAGGCTACAGCAGTTGTGCTATATGTCTTGAGAGCTGCTTGTGCCGTATTAATTCTTGTCTCCATAAGTGTCTGACAACAGCAAGTCCCCATACCCATTTGTGGAATTAATGAACTATTAAGCCTTCGCCTGCTGCTTTGGAAAATTCTGCAGACTTTTGCAGATCTGCCAACACACATATGGGGTGGCTTACATAACTCGCATTGGACAAACACGCCTACATTTCCCTGGGAGAGATACCAAAAAAGAAAACTCAGGTCACTTACACAACAAGGGAAAAGTGATCCCAAACACGAAGACCATGACTCCCCCAAACATGGATATGAGGAAATAGCTGGCCAGCATGACCACCATCACGAATGCAGTGGGGTACTGCTTCTTCATCCGGCGGAGGATGTCTTTATTGTGGGCTGCCCACACGAACCCTGTGAACACCAGGACCACCACAATTCCTCCAAGGATCATGTTGAAGGGGCTCAGAAACCTGGAACAGGAAGAAAAATAGGGAAACGTACTCAGCGGTAGGAGTAGGAGGAGGAAGGAGACCAGAAAGAAGTAAAAACAATTGCAGGGAACATACTAAGCACTTTACCCAACTTAGAGCATTGAGTCCTCACAATGTCATGAAGTAGATACACTTATTTCTCAAACAAAGAAACTTAGCTTCAGAGGTTAGAAAATGGTAGGAGCAGTGCGACTCCTACCAAGCTACCTTAATAGACGCCAGTCTACCTTAATAGAGGCTGACAATTTTAAAAATGAAAGCTTCTCTTTTTTAATGTGTGTGTGTGTGTGTGTGTGTGTGTGTGTGTGTGTGATTGGAAACTGAACCCAGAGCCTTCATAGGAACTATGTCCCCAGTCCCTTTCCATTTCTGATCTTGCCACAGGGTCTCACTAAGTTGCTAAGTTGCCAGGGCTGATCTCAACCTCAAGAACCTCCTTCTTCAGCCTCCCTAGTTACAAGCCTGTGCCATCACACCGGCTCTAATGCTTCCTTTGGAGCTACTGTGTCTAACCTTCATACATACTGTGGGCTCTGGCACACAGTAAGTAGGCTGTACTTTCTTAGCTCTAAAAGCTGTCATATGGAAGCATGTAGTAGAGAAGCCACACAATGGTCTATCTGGTCCAGAACTGGTCTACAGTCAATTACTGTTGGGCGTGTACTTTTAAAACTCACTTGAATCCTCATGGGAAGGGAAAAATATCTGAGGCCTGGGATTTCTTGCTGGAAAAAGAAAATCTAACCCTACCAGGCCCGCTTTTCCATATGTTCTTTTTTAGATAAAAAGAACACTCTCCATTTTATTCCACTCCCACCTCTCTCTATTGTATCCTTAGTACAGGGATACAAAGTAAGTGTCACCCACTACTGCTGTTCTAACAGCTGAATGGCTTTCTTATATAACCTGCCTGCCCCAAGGAGGCATTTGAGTTTATGACTCACTCTTCACATAGAAAGTCCATTCTCATTTTTTATCTTACTTTTTGTACTGAAGATTGAAGTCAGGACCTTTGTGTAGTCCTTTTTAAAAATAATTTATTTTGAGAAAGAGTCTCATGAAGTCACTAAGTTACCCAGGCTGGACTTGAATTTGTAACCCTCCCTCAGCTTCCCACAGCACTGGGTTTATACATGGGTGCCACAATACCTGGCTCAATTACCAATCTTTCAAAAGGCCTACAACATCTTGAGGAAATGGGTTGCAACTCAAATACCCAAGCAACATGGCCTCCAGATTCATTGCTATATGAGCCATTGTTATGTCGTTGCCACCACACAAGTCTTGATGATGGGAGAAACACTTAAGGAAGAAGAGATTTAGACTATTTCACAAACCAGAATGACTGGGCATTGCAATCCTCAACCCCAATTCACTGTAAAGACAAATCCTAATTAACAAAACATTCATGGTGGGCAAGTACAACAGTATGCTAACTTTTCATCCTGGGACCCAGAGAGGACTTCCTTTGTGGGGAACAAAGAGGGTTGGAGGCTCTGAACTATACTCTCAGTTCACAAGATGGACTGGCACAGGAGGGAAATAACGAGGTGATACCAACAGTTCACTCTCCCCGGCTAGGGCATGGACAAAGGATTCTGACTGACATTCAGTCATATTTAGCATAACCACAAGTTTAAAAAAAAGTCTTTAAATTTTAGCTCTAATTCTGCCTACTAAAAAATATAAACTATTTTAAACAGTTTTAAATAGAGCGGAAAATTTTCACACCTTACTGAGTGAAATCAAGTGATATAAGCAATGTAAAACTTCAGTGAAAACATTAAATTTTTCTACTGAAAAGAAGTGGAGTAGTGGTAATAGTAGAATATAATTTAATACCAGATCCTATAATAACAATTTTCTTATTTCATTCCAAATCCTTGTAAATCCTTGAAGCCAATAAATCCCTCTCTTAGAACATAATCTAGGGAAATTAAAAAAATGCAAAGTTGAGAGGTACAGCTGTTCACATCCATAGTATTTATGAGTAAAACTGTCTAGAAATCATTTGTGGGGGTGGAGGTGGGGTCCTTCTGTATAGCCTGAGGATGACAAAGAGAGGAGAACAGCCACAGAGAATCTACAGACTGCACTGGGAGCCAAGGTTTGGACTGGATAGGAAGCTTCGCGGTGGTGTATGAGGATGAAGTGAAATTCTATTAATGATAGCAGAGGGATGGGCCAGGCAGAGATGGGCTATTGTGCCTGGCCTGTGCCAAGCTCAGGTCGTGGTTGAGGTATGGTATAAACAGCTGGGTTTTTTTTTTTTGTTTTTTGTTTTTTAAAGCAGAAGTATACATAACAGAATAGAAAGATATTAATTAGACTGAGTGGGTAAAAACAACTATAATATGTTCTGTTAGGTGGGCTTCTTATGTATGGGAGATTGCCCAGACATACAAAGTTGTATCATTTGTATATTATTTTGTATTCAGAAATAGAGAAGACCACATAAAAAAGTCCAAAAAAGACCAAATATAATAGCAATGGTTCCTCCCCCAAGCTCTCCCTAACATTTAACATACAAGCTGTTCTGTCTGCCTGCCCTCCCTCTCCTACTGCTGTTTTACCTGGGTCTCCTCTCTCTCCCTGCACTTTGGTGTGGCTGGGTTAACCTGTCTCCTGATGTGGCCCTGTAACTGATCTGGGAAAGACCAAAATATACCCATGAAGGGCCGGCGAGATAGCTCAGCAGACTAAGCAACTGCTTAGGCAAGCGCAGGGGCCAGGCTCTGATCCTTGGCACCACATGCTGTGCCAGCCCTGCCCCCAGGCACACGAAGCCTGTGACTGAGTCTGGACATGGTGGTGCATACTTGTACTCCCAGCGCCAGGGAGACTGAAAACAGGAGGATCATTATGAGTTTAAGCTGTGTTGTGAGACCCTGCACATATGCACGCACACGTGCACGCGTGTGTGTGTGTGCGCGCACACACACACACACACACACACACACAAATTCCTGTGGGTCTGAAAAAAGGACAGAACCAAGCAGGGTAAAAATAGTCCCTACCACCCTCTTGAACAGGTGGTAGGGTCTCTGAGTAAAACAGGCCCATAAAAACAAACCCACAAGCTCACTCAGGTTCATAAATCTTGATCCTACCACCAAAAGGTGGGACAGTAATTAGACTAAAAGATTGCAGTAGTTACACTGAAGTAGGAACATCTTGGGCAGTTTACTCCCACTTGTTTCCTTTTCATTTTCATAGTTTTCCAGTAGCTGTGTATTAATTAATTAAAATCACCTAGCGAGACATGGTGGCACAACTCTAATCCCAGCATTTGGGAGGCTGAGGCACAAGATTCATTTGTTCCTGAACTACATAACAAGTCCCTGTTTATTTTATTTATTCTGTATTTAGGGCAGGATCTCCAGGGTCTACGGGGTCTCACTGCGTAGATCAGACTTGCAGTGATTCTCCTGTTTGCAGCCTCCTAAATGCTGGGATTACAAGAACACACCACCACGCCCAGTCTCAATCACCAGCTCAGCGTGCCACTGGGTATGGAACCAACCGCTGTGCTCTGCCAAAGCAGGTGCTTTAGTCTGCTGAGGTATCAGGCAGGCCCTGCAAGTCACTGTTTAAATAAAAAAAATTAAAATTAAAATTAAAAAAAAGCAGGACTGGAGCTATAGCTCAGCAGCACAGCACCTAGTACAAGGGCCTAAAGAAGCAACACTTGATATTAAGAAATGACAAATTAAATTGAGGAAAGATTCTGAAGAAACATATCCTTTTACAAAAGCTTGAACCTAGGCCATACCCAAATATTTCTAAGCTGTAAAGAAAAGCCAAGATAAAAATAAACATTAAGAACTACACGCAGGTTAAAGTTTAAGGAGGCCGGCTGGAACCATGGAGGTTGCAGAAGAGAAGAAAAAGAAGGTTCCTGCTGTGCCAGAAACCCTTATGAAAAAGCGAAAACGTTTCGCAGAGCTAAAGATAAAGCGCCTGAGAAAGAAGTTTGCCCAGAAGACGCTTTGCAAGGCGAGGAGGAAACTCATCTATGAAAAAGCCAGGCACTATCATAAGGAGTACAGACAGATGTACAGAACTGAGATCCGGATGGCTAGGATGGCGAGAAAAGCTGGCAACTTCTATGTCCCTGCAGAGCCCAAACTGGCATTTGTCATCCGGATCAGGGGTATCAATGGTGTGAGCCCAAAGGTCCGCAAGGTGTTGCAGCTTCTTCGCCTTCGCCAAATCTTCAATGGTACCTTCGTTAAGCTCAACAAGGCTTCAATTAACATGCTGAGAATTGTGGAGCCATACATTGCATGGGGGTACCCAAACCTGAAGTCAGTGAACGAACTAATATACAAGCGTGGCTATGGCAAAATCAATAAGAAGCGAATTGCCTTGACAGATAATTCATTGATTGCTCGATCTCTTGGTAAATATGGAATCATCTGCATGGAGGATCTGATTCATGAGATCTATACTGTTGGAAAACGCTTCAAAGAGGCAAATAATTTCCTGTGGCCATTCAAGTTATCATCTCCTCGAGGTGGAATGAAGAAAAAGACCACCCATTTTGTAGAAGGTGGAGATGCAGGAAATAGGGAAGACCAGATCAACAGGCTTATTAGAAGGATGAACTAAGGTATCTACCATGGTGTTTTTATGATTTGGTCAGTTAATAAAGTATCTGCTTCCAAATTGAAAAAAAAATAAAATAAAATAAAGTTTAAGGAGACTCCTTTGTGAAAACTGCAAATAGGAAAGGGTTGGCTGGCAGCAGATCAAAGGTCTCCTCCTCAGTGCTTTGCTTTCTAAGCTGTTTATTAAAACAATAACTCATGAAGCAGACACTAAATCCAAGTTGAAAATACTGTTGAATTCATATTATTTTATTTAGTGAAATTCTGTATCATGTCTTTTTTTCTAATTCTTTATTGCTATTTTATATTCTCTTCAATTTTTCTTTTAAAAAATAAAACTTTGAGTTTAATCCCTGCTTCTGCAATAAA